GAATCATACAATACACGGTACACGGCACGACTTGTGGTAACATATTGAAACGGTTCCTCAATTTCTTCCAGTAATTCAGGATTCTGACTCCCATTAGTTACTGTTGCTATGTTCATCAAATAGAATATCTCGAGACTTAAAACTCTGATCATCCAAAAATTGATAATAAAATTGTTTCAGTTGTATACTGTCCTTTAAAAATAAAATAAAACTGCCTAGTATCCTTGTAGCACTCTTCAAAACAAATGTGTGGTTGTTTGTGGGACAATCATCGTTGCAGCATCTAAAACTTTCTCACCACACACAAATATTTTTTTGTTTTTCTACTACTTGGATTTTTTTGATATTCGTTTGAAATCAGTAATTTAAAAGAATTTTTCACTGATCAGCTGATGTTTCACGTTTGCCGTGAGCGTAAATCTAAAACTCTCTATTAACCTCTACTACCAGACTCCCTTGCACACTTTCTTTTGTTCGGTTAATCAGCACCTATTGTCTTGCTATTCACATGAGGGAATACATCATACGCAAACCATTAGCTCTAAACCTATTTCACAACATTGTCTAACGAATGGACTTGCCTAACATTAACATTGATTCTAGTCCTTGATAGATACTGCGCAAAGGGTGACCAATCATCCTTGCTTACATCAGTCAAAACATTCATCTTTCCCCTTTCATTACACTCACAGAAAAAGTCCGAATTCTCATCATCAGTTCCATTGTTTAAAACAGCGTTTTCATTAATTTTTGATGCCTTGTGAAAATTTTCTTGCAGCTGCTTAGGTTCTGTTTCTTTTTCTTTGTCCATCAAAGACTCCTCACCATTCCTACTACTTTGACTTATTTCCTCAGGACCGAACCACTTGAGACAATCTGGCGGTTCATTATCTTCTCCCACTTTGAAGATTCTTGGTACAGCATGAAATGCTAGCCTTGATTCACCAGACATTATGGCTATATCTCCGCTATGAATAAACATGGCTGTTGAAATAGAAACAAGATAGAATGATATCACAATTTGGACAAGTCTAGAGACATTAATTGTTATTTTAAATATGTTTTTAGACTAAAGACTACTAAACTTAATACCATTGATCAGTCAGAATAACAGTTTTTACCAGTTGGTTAATGCAATATTTGGTGTCATTGACCAATGACTGGCAGTTATGTTAAGTCCTGCAAGTATGTCTAACTTGATCATAAAAAAGTGGGTTGGTAAAACATTCCCCTAGCTCTATTACCTATGAGTGGAGCCTATAAACCTAACCCTTGGAAAATACAGTGAACTGGTTGAATATGTACAGTATCTGAGTGAGTTGTAGGATAATGAGTACTAGCATACAGCTGACAGTACCATGTTACTTATTCTCATCATACCTGTTGGCTTGATAACCTTTGCTTTTCCACCAATCAAAAACACTGCTGGTTGGCCAAAGCTGATGGAAATCAAAGGCCAGGAAAGATCCAATTCATAGTGATCAGTATGGCCTCCCATAGATGTTCCTATTGGATAATAATTCACAATTCCTGCCTCAGGGGTATACCCTGGGTAACCTATTGCCTCTGCTATGTGCTGCATAAGTCCTGATAGGTCTTTGGGAAAGCCAAAGTAATGTTCTGGTTTATAATCAACAACATTGTAATCAAATTGATAACCTAAGTGAACCCATCGGAGTCTACTCATCAAGTCTTGATCTTGACCATTTCTGCAATTTGAACAAAAAAATAAATCAAAAGAATAGTAAAAGCTTGTTTGCAATAGTTGCCAATTTTGTGGTGCACCTTGAGTATCTTTTTTTTAAATAGCGATTTCATAACATCCCCAAATTGCAAATGTAAATGCTTGCAATTTTATGATGACTTTAGGGTGATATATCAGAGACTAGCACAATTTTAGCAACCTACCAAGTTTCATTATGTCAGTTGTTATATCAGTCAAGAAAACTCTAGCTAAAAATTGTCAAAATTAAAGACATTTGTATGTAACACCCCCAGATATACAAATGTCTGGTAAATTTGTCAGTTTTCAACTTTAAGTTTTCTTGGCCAATATAACACCTGACATAATGAATCTTCATAAAAGATTTGTAAAAGATTTTTWAAAAATCATGAATCTACGTTACTAAAATAAAGGTGCTCTTTCCAGTGCTGGTATTGGTTTTTCTTTCAGTTTAATTTTAACTCAACCGAATTTGCAGCCATCATTTTGGCAAGGCTCTGTTCTAGTGCAGGCCCATTGTTACAACCTTTAAAGAGAAGTTTAGATTTTCTACCAATCTTAGTTGTGCCATTTCTTGAAAAACTAAACTAAACTAAACTAACTTTTTTAGTGTGTGCTAAACATTATTTTGTTTTCCTACAAAGGCAGAGTGGGGAGGGGTTCATTTGAACCATCAAACCACCCCTAGTAACAGGCCTGTAGTTAGACCCTATTAGTGGATTACCCATGTCTTCTGTCTGAATTTCACAATCTAGGTCACAATTTTGGAACGTTCCTGTGTTGCTGTTAAAATTTTACTCCTATCAGGACCTTTCTGTCAATTAATTCATAAGAGCAGTCTGTCACTCATTGCAAGTTTGTGGTTCTCATGTCAACATTTCAAGACTAACTCACAGATCAAAATTAAAATTCAGCACTAGTAATTATTAGGTTTCCTGAAGTGAGAAAAAGAGAGCCTGGAGTAAAATCCTTGAACAACCCTTGAATCAAGGGAAAGACCTAACAAACATGGGATGCCTGGACTTCAAATAGACTTTTTATACAGCAATGATAAAGGGGTAAATTTTAAGTCCTAGGACTAGTGTCCGAAATGTCAGTAAGTTTTTTCATCTTTTCACGATGTAAAATTTACCCTTTTATCATTACTGTTTCATTAGAAACACTGACGCAGCTCACACTAGTTTTTAGCTAGTTATCTCCTCTGGTTAATATTTATATTTCTTCACATTTTCCCATCTGGCAATTTTTCCCATCTGGGTCTTTTCTAGTCTCCCTTACAGCCGTTCTTAGTGGGACCGACACAAAGAACGACTGAAAAGTAGACTAGGTCTTTTCTACATTGAAGCACTTCGATTTTTTAATCGATTCTTAAAGATATTTATACCTACTAAGCTCCCAAACAGACTCATCGTCCTTTATCGTCATATGAGCGTCCAAGTTCGACACGTTTGGTTTACGAGTAAAATCTTCAATACATCGTTTTGTCCAATAATTCTGAGCTCCTTTTATAAACGGGTTGACAATAAAAATAAAACCAGGGCAAGATATCAGCTGGTAAACCTTCCACTGTCGGGTACAGCGAAGACCATGGCCTGCATGGAGAAACTTCCGAAGGGGAATTTCCGACACTCTGCCATGAAACGTCTCGGGATTGTTAAAATTTATGACTTCACTGAAGTCTGGAGGGGGCTTTTTTCTCTTGTAGTACTTGTAGCCTTGTCTTATTAAGTCCTCGCTGGCGTTTATATTTCCATTACAACATGATGGTCTTTGGTTTACTTCGTCTGCTCCGTCCGCCATGTTGGAAAGTGCGCATGCGATCCAACTGTTCAGCTGTATGACGTTTCAACAGGAATCCCAGACTCGAATTTGAGAGCTGATTTTTAGAGTGTCTCTGCTGGCTCTGATTGATAAAAATCTTCCGACAGGGGTGGATGCAAGAGGGGGGTGCTCCCCTCCCCCCAGATGAGCTAATGATCTTAACTTTTATGAGAGAATCCTGGGCAGGGTCTTGGCACCCAATAAACCTCTGGATCCAGGCATTAATTAATCACGTTTCTGTGCCTTACAACTTTAGTTTTCATCGAAGCTTACTGTAACTGCAATCAAGGAGAGGTGTAAAGAGGTGGCACTAGATCAATACAGAAAAGGAGGAGGAAGACTAGAAGGACAATAGGAGCAGCCATGGGGCGGGAGGGAGAAAGGAGGCCGAGGAGGAGAAGGTTACCGGTACGTATCAAGCTCGCATGGATGGAGAGCAGTAACAAAAACACTCGATCAGTTATAGATAAGAAAAAGCAGCAATTCTTTAATGTCTTCGGAACTCAAAAATAAGAAACGGCGAGTATCTAGTATAAGTCGTCTGACATTCCACGCCTTTGTATCTGCTTTCTTGAAGATATTCCCAGCCGGCTAGTTTTAAAGACGGAGTCATCACCCGTAGGCAACATATTTAGAGATAAGACCTTTGCCATCATAAAAGTGCCACGATAAGGTTGTCTGTCTGAAAGCTCTTCATATCAGTATTGCTGGTTTTCACATGACGTCAGCAAAACATCAAAATCTAAAATATAGATCGTATAAAGACATTTCTCAAGTATGTTTTAGAAATCAGTGTTATAAGTCACAAGAAAAAGTTTCGAGGCATTTCGATGTTTGGTTCTCGAGTTATGAAGGTTGAGTTTGTGTCACGCAATACTGTCACGTCTATCTAAATAGCTATAAAAATATTAAAATAATTTACTTTAGTTGAAAGATTTTCCCTTAGACACGTTTAAAATATCTATTTAAAGTCTTTGTAAGTGAAAAATAGTCAAACATATTAAATATTCCATCATTTTAAGCCTTTGGAATTTCGTCCGCCATGATGGTGAACCTACTTGGAACACCAAGATGGCCGCTCCATACATTTTAACCAAATATTGCGTAATGTTTACTCGCCTATAGTTCCGCAACTAAATGCTCTACAGCCTTAAAATTTGGCSAGTATATGTAAATTGGGCCGCTTTACAAGAATATAAAACTTCTATTTCATTATAATGCGAATTTATGCTTTTGAAATTCATGAKGACGTAGGTGAAAACCAAGAATAGTCGTACAGATTAGCAAAATCAATTATATCACTGCAATTGTATGTTGGTGGAATTATGGGCCTAAGGTAACGACTTTTTTGTTTTAGTGTCTATGAAAGATATGGACTTAACTACCTCGGAGATCGATCAATCCCATGATAAATAATACTTTAGCCTTCCGTCCGGCTCTAAAGTGCTGTGAAATTGGTCTTTCTTATAGCCACAAAAATATAATGTTGTCGTACGTGTGCACGTTATAAAAACCAGCATTTGACTAATGCATTAAATATCAATTCATGAAAATGCGATCTGATAGTGCAGAAGACTTGCTTAACGACCCTTCCCAGTACTTAATGACCTTTGGGGAACTGAATTCGAAAAACATGAGAACTTATAAAAGCGCGATAACAACAAAAAGAAAAAGAAGTATCATTTCTATCTAAAACGGGACACGAGGACAACACGAATCAGCTCCTTATGCTGGCTAATAATAATAATAATAATAATTACATGTTTTACCAGGGTAAGCTCGTCAGCAAACAGCTGTTATCAAGGAGCGCCCTGGGGGCAACAAAAATTATCAACAAAATAATAAGATAATTAAATATATATATACTGTAAAATACTAAAATNTCCCACCTTACGCCTTCGACGCAGTCAAACTCCGCAAAGCGCTGGTCAATTTCCTTCTTCCGGCGCGTTAACTTCCTTTGGGTTTCCTTTGGGCAACATCGTGCAGCAACGTCGCCGTGCTCCTCGCAAGCCACGCTCAGCAGGTCGTAATTGCCGCGGCACCGATGTCGATGCCATTCGTCGTTCTTAATAATAATAATAATAATAATTACATGTTTTACCAGGGTAAGCTCGTCAGCAAACAGCTGTTATCGAGGAGCGCCCTGGGGGCAACAAAAATTATCAACAAAATAATAAGATAATTAAATATATATATACTGTAAAATACTAAAATGTTAGTAAAAATCAATACAATTCATTAAAACATTTAAAAAATATCTTTGAGATTRGACTTAAATAATAATAAAGAATTAATCTCTTTTTAATTAATTATATTAATTAATTTAATTATATCGTCATACTAAATCTCCGACGTGACCGATGCAGACGAACAAAGGAAACCTCAGTACGTCAATGAATATCATATGTGAAAACGGCTTATGCTATAATAGTTGCGGATAGTTTGGTTGAGTCTGACCTGATGAACTCTGGTAAGCTCCTTTCAAAGATTAAGTTTTGAGACTCTTTTTAAGGTTTTTTTGACGTTGCTTTTAGCTGATTTTAATTCAGGATTTTTGGGGTTTGAAGGACTTGAACCTTAGCTTGATCCTAATGCGTTGATGGAAAAAGGAAGATCGATCTTTATATCCATCGATTTTATTGTGACTGCTCAGAAAATCCTAATGAAATGCAGTTATTCACTTCGGTCTTCCCCTTTGAGCAATTAAGTGCAAGAATATAATTACTGTCTAAAAAAATTCTCATCTCAGACATTCGAGAGAGGCAACAAGAATGATGACTTTATGGCACCATTRTCTTTGCAGTTTTTTTGTTTGCATACTATGATTTCCGCAAACTTTAATTTGTTTGTACGACTGAGGTGACACGTTGGAGTGGAATCGCTGCAGGGATTATCTGAATTCAGTTATGAGAACGTGCTTTGTTCATTATATAGCAACCACAAAGAATAACAGTCAATATTAATTAATGACTGAGTGATAAGTGCGGTAGGAAGGTACCGTAATCAAACACTTTTCACAAATCAACGCCAACACAGCCTCCAGCATACAATTACTGCGCAATTCCCTGATCTAGATTCGCTTGGGATCTGTAGGAACATTGTTGTCCTCAGTTTTGTGATATTGCGAAGACATTTGGTTGACTCATATCGTTGACGCTCAGTGACGTCTGCGCGCGATACATGGAAACTTTTGATTACTTTACAGTGACTACAGAGTCAATGGAACAAGACTTATTTGAAATAGAAATGACTAAAGCTCTGGAAGAAATATTCACCAACTTGAGGCAACTCAAGGAAAGTCGCTCCGAAAACCGAAGATTAAGTATGGATCGAGCCAAGAACGAACTCGAAAATGATGATTCTCTCCAACATGTTGAGAGGACCGAGAACATTGAACTGATGAATCCTGAAAAAGAAACCCGTCAAGAAAAACAAGAAACTGAAGGCGTCCAAGTTAAACCGCAAGCTCCTCGGAGAAGACAGCTACCTGTTTTACCAACAGTGAAAAAATCATGATAGGATTTTTGGATAACGGTAATTATCCACTACAGCTCTAAAAGGCGATGAAGTCAGTAGCGCCATATAATGAAAATGGCTAGCATAGCTGATGACAGGTCACTGGTCGCCGATTTAGCCAAAGTGTACACTTCTATAGCTTCATGATCTAGCTGCCATTTTTGTCATTCTGCCAAAATTAATTGTTCAGAGTTGGTCTCATTTATTAATGCTGTGCAAATGAGAGAAAACAGCGACATTTCAGTGTTTATGCAGCCGGACATGGGTCGTTAGGTATCCAACTGGGTCGATACTTTACGGCTTTATAACTGAACCTTCAAATTCCTGCTTACATGCATTTACTGGATTAGTACGCGTGCACTTTTTATAATACACGACCTAATACTGTCTGAAACTGACCGTATTAAACGTTTACAACTTCACTATTAAAGATCTAGGGCTTGGCCCTTGGCAACACTTATATTGTTAGATTGACACATGTGGAAAAATTGAATTGGCCTGAACTGATCGATTTTATATTGATTTTACAATCTATCATGCAGTGAATTACGTTGAGCCGTAATTAATGATGTTCACGCGTGTTCAGTTTACGACTAGCATCGAGGAATCCTGCTCGAATTGAATCGACTTAATAGCTACTTATTTTAAAAAAATGCAATTATTAATATTATCACTAAGGGGCTCTAGGTATCCTTCATATATCAAGTTTTGAAAAATGCTCTCCATCAATCAGGTCCAATCAGAGTTGGACCACGTACTGATAAAAGTCATAATCCCACACAAGTTTGATCAAGTGCAGATAAGAAAATGAGATGTTTTCACGTAATCAGGTTAAAGGACAAAGTCTGCATTAACCTTTACAGCATGAGGAAGCATTACTTTATCCTTGCAATAATGGAATTACGGTGTGTTTAGAGAATTTTAATGTTGCAATTAAAAATTTGATCCCTTGTCGCATCTCTAGAACTCAACCATCAGTAGTGCGGCGTTGGCTCTAGGGTATACGCGCATGGGTTAAATCTATTGTCAGTTTTTTGTACGTTGTGGTAACCCATTAGATCGATGAAAAACAGATGACATTATATGATTACATCTTTTCTTAAGGTATTTTAAATGATTGATTATGATATAATTAGAGAGAGGTTTTTCACGTAATTCTTTCCACAGTTTCCGTATGATAATATATACTCTTCCTAATAAGGAAAGATTACTCATAGAATGCAAAATTGATCCATGTCCGGCGATCGAATATATATAGATCGTAACAACAAATTCCAAAACGGTTTGCGTGATCATTTTTGCTTGTTGAAGTTTCCGAGTTTTGGCGGATCGGATTTACACCTGTCAAAAAATCAAAGCGTATCTCGGATCGACGCGAAACTTTTTCTTTCAAAAATCCTTTTAATTATGAGATTACTGACCAGAATTAACCCAAACGCACTCATCTTTCTTTAATTTTGTCATCTACACGCGCACGTGTACGTGTCTGATCTCAGTAAAAAGTAACAGTCTCCACCCTCCAAAAAATGCGAGGAATTCAAAAAAAAGATTCCTTGTAAGTTCGGAATATGTGGACCGCATGGCACTAATGAAATATATGAAGATATAGAAATATAGATAAGTTATAGTGCTTGGGAACGAGGTTATTCCGACCTCGCTGGGAATCGAACCCACGACCTTCGGAATTTAATTCCAAGGGCTTTCGCCCGGAATAACCTCGTTCCCAAGCACTATGACTTATTTATATTTCTATATCTTCATATATTTCATTAGTGCCATGCGGTCCACATATTCTCATCTTTGCATCATAATTACCGCTACCTAACATCTATTTCACCCCGGCCTGCTCTCAGTCTGACCTCTAGCTCAGCTGGTAGAGCATCGGTAGTACAATTCCGAAGGTCGTGGGTTCGATTCCCAGCGAGGTCGGAAATCAATTTTTCCGAATTTAATTCCAAGGGCTTTCACCCGGAATAACCTCGTTCCCAAGCACTATAACTTATCTATATTTCTATATCTCCTTGTAAGTTTATATAGTCAAGTACGTTTTCCCTTGACTGTCAAACATAGGATTTTTTAAAAGTTTGCCTTATTCATATCCTGCACATAAACATATATAACATTTATATAGCATAAACCAAGGTAGAAAGCCGTGACTTTAGTCCCAGTGAGCTACACTCATGGTCAGGCGTTGCCTCTGCAAGCAAAGCAGAGTGTAGTTCGCTTTACGRCATTACGGATGGTACTTTGACCAAAAACAGAGACTCCATTACAGTGTAGTAGCAATCAACGGTCCTTTGCGATCCTTTGCCCCGCTGCGCCTCACATTCAGCTAATCCCTTCACCCATTCCACCTGCCTTTCTCGTCCCGGCCAGTTTTCTGTCAGTTTCCCGGCCAGTTTTCCCGGCCAGTTGTCTGTCGCGGCCATTTTATCACATTGATCTGCATTCGTCACTTTAGTCCACCGACTGCGGTTGCATTGATCCGCGCAATGGCATATTAAGAGGGTTAAGATAGCCGGTACCTATAGATTTTTTGAGTTTTGAGCGTACGTGCCCTCGAACAAGAGGGTCAGATGAACAGTGTCTTTCGACCCCTAACCCAAGCCCTGTGCGGCGATTGAAGGCCGCGCTGATCCGACCCCGACCCACCTGTCGGTCTATCGTTTCGGTCATCCATTTGTTCGATTTAATTTACACACTATTCTGCCCACGCCTGAGTATTTAAACACGTCAATAAAGCATTGCCTTCATCTTGAATTCGTATATTCTTTCATCTATCCTTCCACCTATCCGTTTATTCAACCATTCTTCCAGTTTTTATGAACCTGGACCGACAACCACCATCACCACAGGTCAGCGGTAATCTGCGACAAGAGAGCAAACATGGCGGACGGACAAGATGCATGGAAGGTTGATGATAACCTTGCAGATCTACACAGCCGCTACAGAGTACTCCAGAGAGAGGTATAAATAATAAGATCGATTCTTTGAATATGTTTTCTATCATCATAGAATGCTTCTAGGTATTAGGCTTATAATTTTGCAAATTTGTGCGTTTGGTAAAGTTGGTCGTACAAAATTAATTTTGTGGGATGTCTGTCCTCACAACACAGACAACTAAAACCTACACAATTTATAACTAATAAATTTAGTTATCTCTTATTATTCTTGATTTTATTTTTCGTATTTTTTTACCCAGTTCTAGTTCTGGTTGCATTGTTTAGGTTTTATAGGTGTGCTAATGGGGGGGGGGGGGGGGGGGGGGGGGGGGGGTGGATTTCAACAGCCCTAGATTATTCATAGTAGACAAACTGTGGAATTTGTAGTGAATAATTTGTTTTATTTCATTAAGCTTTTTTTAGTTTCAGGAATTAGAAGTGATTAACTCAGAGCTTGAGTACATCAAGAAGAATGTAAGTCTTGTTGTAAATTTTAGACGATATAGAAAACAAGACATCAGCAAAGTTAAAATAAAAAAAAAAAWGAAATTCCACTTTAATCAATTTTAATAACTATTTTTATGAAGTGACTAGCTTTAGGTTCACATATAAACAATATGACTGTTTTCAATTATATAAATGCTACTCATTCCAGAATAATAATAGTTATTCAAATTAGTCACCATATCTTGATTAGGTGCATAACCCATCAAATTAACCCCAGAAAAAGGTGTTATAATGTAGATAAGGATTGATCTGGCTCAGATTTCTGTAAAACAGGGGAATCCATTCTTGATTGCTACCTATTTGTAGAGTTCATGGTCTGAGGGGGTAAAACTATATTATCTTGGGTGCATGTCTGAAATAACATTGTTACTATAATATGATGATTAATCAACAATTTAATTGTTTACTGTAGAGAATTTATGTCAAAAGAGGAGGAAATCTCTTTTTCCTTGATTCAAATCACCAAAAAACAAAAACTGAATATAAAAGTAAGTATGGTATGTAAGAAGATTGGATTCATGGTTTAATAAGAATTTATAAATATAAGATTGTACATTTCTGTACAACAGTAATTTGAGAAAGCTTTACAGTGAGACATGCATAAAAAGTGCCTAAAACCTCGCTCTGGGACAGGGTATATGA